AGAACATTTTTATTGTCGAAGTAGGCGGATTGATACATTTCGACCCTTCTTTATTTGTGTGGAAGGCGCCTTGCATTCGTATGTACTAAGTACCCACATACTCGCCTTCGCATCCTCCACTCAATGACACTCCCTCTTGCTCTCTCTCACTCGTATTAGCATCCACACACTCGCGCTCCTACTCACAATCGCATTCATATTCACGTTATCCATTCAGTCACGCTCTGTCACACTCTCACTCTCATTTTCTCACTCATTCCCACTCCATCATCCCTTCGCTGACACACACACACACACACACACACACACACACACACACACACACACACACACACACACACACACACACACACACACACACACACACACAACCTCCCTTCCCTGACACAGACAGACACAGACAACCGCACACCAGCCTCTTGCACCGTGAACCAAGCTCGCTCACGACGGAGGCAGAAGCGCCGGACAGGGTCTTGTGTGCCTCGGTCGCTCCCCGTCGCTGCAATGTAAACAATTTTTTTGATGTCTGCGTTTTTTTTTCTTTATCTTTTTTCTTTTTCTTATCCTTTTTGTTTTCTTTCTTTTAGCGCTTTTTTTTTTACCTCCACCTTATTCTCCTTCTTCCCTCCTTCCTTCCCTTTTTCTCCTATCTTCCACTCTTCCCTTTTCTCCTATCTTCCACTCTTCCTTTTTCCTCTCTCCTTCCCCCCCTTCCCTTTCTCCTCTCCTATCTTCCCCTCTTCCTTTTCTCCTCTCTTCCCCCTCCCCTTCCTTCCTCTCCCCCTGCCATACATCCCTTTGTGTAGAGGCGCACGTGGTCGATTTCCTTCATTTCCGAAATTGATGATAATTAGATGATTGTGTCTTCAGGTTCGCATTATCTTGACTCTTAATTGATAACAATTAGCCGTAATCGCTCGTGGACGCCGTTGCTCCGGTCGACTGTGATGCTGCTCATCTCCGTTCCTTTATCTCTTTATCTTTTCTCTGGTTCGCTTTTTTTTTTTCTTTTTCGGTTTCTTTTCCTCCGTTCCTCCTTCCTTCCCTTATTCTCTCCCTCTCCTTTTTCCCTTCCCCTCTATTCCTCATTCTCTCCCTCTCCTTCCTCCACCCTCCCTCCCTCCTTCCTTCTTCCTTCCCCCACACACCCTCCCTCCCTCCTTCCCTCACACACCTCTCCTTCCCTCCTTCCCTCCCTCTCCTTCCCTCACACCCTCCCTCCTTCCCTCCCTCTCCTTCCCTCCCTCCCCTCTCCCTCTCATTCCCTCCTTTCGTTTCGATCGCTAGACATCCGCGGAAACCAGGAAAAAGATCCACACTCATGTTTTTTTTTCTTTTTCTTTTTTTTTTTTCGTTCTTTTTGAGGCGAATCATTGCGTCTTGGTGTTTTAATCGCGGGATGAGTGGGAGAGGGGGGTAGATGAAAGGGAGGAGGGAGGAGGGAGGGAGGAGGAAGGAGGGAGGCGAATTGGTGCGTGAGATGAGGATGGGGATGGCTCTCTTTTTTTATTTAAATCTTTTATCTTCTTTTGTTATAGTTTTTTTTTTCTCTCTCTCTGCCCTCTTCTTTTCTATTTCTCCCCTTTTCACCCTCTTTCTCTCTTTCGCTTCATGTTTGTTTTTTTTCTATCTTTGTATGTATGTTTATATGTATGGGGAGGAGGAGGGAGGGAGGGAGAGGGAGTAAGGGGGGGGGGAGTAGGGGTAGGAAGGAATAAGTTGTGATAGTGGTGGGGGGGGTTGGGGAAGAGAGAGAGAGAGAGAGGAGGGGGGGGATATCCCTCTCATTATCACCATTATGCCTGCACTTACCCCCCCCCTCCGCGTTATTAATTACGTCATTACCGCGCTAATTACAGCCGGCGACATCTCTGGGTCGTTTAGGCTCCGCTTGGTGTCGTCGGCGAGGTTGCCTGCGCGTGTGATGACGTCATTGAGAGGATTGATTTGCATAGACGCGAGTGATGTTTGTCTGTGGTGTTTGTCTGTGGTGTTTGTCTGTGGTGTTTGTCTGTGGTGTGTCTGGTAAAGGCGGTGTAGCTGCTGTGGTGTAGTTGTCTCTCTTTGACAGATACGTAGCTTATTTTGCATTTTTTTTTGTACAAGGAAGGGGATATTTGGCAGCATTCGTGATAGATTGGTTATTTTACGGCGTGTAGCACGGACGCTCGAACGTACGAGGACGCATGGGAGAGATGCACGCACGTCGTCCGTACGTGTGCACATGAACCCTCTGGTCTGTGAACGTTATCTGCCATTGAGCTTGTGTAGCCTTGCAAGGAGAGTGTTCAGTATGATAATTTAAATTGCTGCCGCGCTGGTGTGCTGTGCAGTGTATGAATGGAGCTCATCTGTTGTAATCCATTCCTCGAAATCTCAAAAGGAGAATGAATAGCGACGAAAAAAAAGATAAAAATGAGGGAGGGGGGAAAAAACAGTGGCGTTGTACGAAACCCAAACCCAAGCCGTTGACTCAAACGCACGTAATCGGACACCGCGTTTGTAACTCCAGCCTCATCTCACAACAGCGGGGGTGTTCGTGTTGCTGCAGATGACTTTTTAATCTCTTTCTCTTTCTCTCTTTTCTCTCTCTCTCTCTTTCTCTTTGCCGAAGTGGCGAGGGCGGAATTCCCAGGGTTCACTCTCGACTTTTCGTTTGTATTTGCTTGTTCAGAGAAAAGGGAAGATCTTTGAGCCATTTCAAAGGTGTGAGGCCAGACGAGTGGGATGGCGGCTGCGTCCGAAAGCGTGGCCGAGCGCACGCCGGGGCTCAGTGAGTGTGCGAAACTGTGGCCTCGCGATCTGAAACAGTCGGGGCTGGATCGGCTTTCACTTTTGGGGGATTGACAACAAAGAAAGTTTTAAGCGCCGAAGTTTTAGCGGCGCGATGGTGGAGAGCGGCGATGCGATGATGACGATGATGATGATGATGATGATGCTGATGATGATGATGATGATGGCGGCGGTGATGGTGATGGTGATGGCGGGGATAATGACGATAATGATGAGCTATTTGGTATTTTATTCCACTGGAAGCATGGAGTCATTCGGTCATGCTACAGTTGTAGTTATAGAGGAAGGAGGGATAAGTAGGAGAGGGGGGATAAAATGACAACGTGCGAGGAAGGAGGGAAGAAAGACGAGGAAGAAGAGGAGGAGGAGGAGGAGGAGGAGGAAAGAGACCCAAAAATAAGAGTAAGGAGTGTGAGTCAAGAGGGAAGAAGGAAGGAGTAACAAGAGGAAGAGGAAGAGGGAAGGGAAGGGGTAGGAGGAGTAAGATTGTGAGTGAGAGTATGAGGGCGAAGTGAGGAAGGATTCACACCAGGATGCTTGAGCGGGAGCATGTGGCGAGCTGGGTGTCGGCTCTCGCTAATTATGGCAGAGGGGGGGGAGGAGAGGAAGGGGGGTGTATAGTGGAAGGGTGTGAGGATGGGAAGGAAGGGAGAAGGGGAGGTAGGGTAGGGGGGGGGCGGGGGAGGAGGAGGAGGTTGGTGGAGAGTACAGTGTCGCATCAGTAGAGTGTTGATTTAGTAGTGTGGCATCAGTGAGTGTGTGTGTATGTGTGTGTGTGTGTGTGTGTGTGTGTGTCGTGTGTGTGTGTGTGTCTGTGTGTGTGTGTGTGTGTGTGTGTGTGTGTGTGTGTGTGTGTGTGTGTGTGTGTGTGTGTGTGTGTGTGTCTGTGTTGTGTGTGTGTGTCTGTGTACTGTTAGTCTTGTGATCGTTTCTTGCCCATCCCGTTATAAAGCAAAATCTGGTCAGTAACACATGTATACCACGAGGGAATAGATTTGAGAAGGCGTTCTACCTTTTGGCTTTCTTAGCTGCAGCAACAACACCTAGCTGTGTCTCTCCCCCTTCCTCCCTCCTTCCCCCTCTCTACTTCTCTCTCTACCTCTACCTCTTTCCCCTCCCCCTCCCCCTCCCCCTTCGCCGTCTCCACCCACGCTAAGCTCTGCCCACTGCCCTCCCCACCCTCCCTACCCTCCCCACCCCTCCCCATCCCTACCCCTTGACATATGGTAATGTTTAAGTCCGAGAAGCGGCAGCAGTCCACTTTCTGGAGACGAAGGACTTGACAGCGTCTGCTAAGAAGTCCGACATCTCCTTCGTCCCCTTTCCTCCTCTCTTTCTTTCCCTTTATTTCTCTCTCTTCCTCCCCCTCCCCCTTTTCTCTTTCTCTCTCCCCCTTTTTTCTCCCCCTCCCCCTCCCCCCTTTTCTCTCCTTCCCGTCCTTCCAAACTGCCCCACCGAATTATCGGCATCTTTACGAGCATTAATGATTAGAATCGAACACATCTGATATGAAGTTGATATTAGCCAATTAGTTCCGGTGGGATCCCCGTCCTGTGAGCCCCGTCGCGGTCGATCGGGCTTTGTTTATGGCGAGAGGTGTTGTCTGGTCAGCGGAGGTATACGCGAGAGGGAAGGGCTGGCCGAGAGTACCTCCCTGATTTCTGGTCCCCTCCCTGCCCCCTCCCCTTCCTATACCTCCCCTGGTTCCCTCCCTGATCCTCCCTCCCCTGGTCCCTCCCTGGTCCCCGTCCCCAGGTCTCCTCCCGTGGTCCCCTCCCTGCTCTCTCCTAGGTCTCTCGCCCCCTTCCTGGTCCTCTCCTTGGCTGGGCGGGCGGACTGGCCACCGTTTGACCTGATTACTGATGAAAGCAAGCAGCGGCCAGGCAGCCAGTCGGGCCAGTCCTGCCGCTACCGTTTCTGCCAAGATAGGGCGAGGCTGGCAGGGAGGCGCGGGGGGAGAGTGGGAGGGGGAGGAAGGAGAGAGAGAGAGAGGACGGGAAGGGAGAAAGGGAGGGTGGGAGGCAGGGTGCTGCACCTGATCTAGAAATCCGTCCCGAGACCCCGTTTTGACGGTGTTAGGCTTAGGTTTTGGACAGCGTCCTGTCGCGGCTCCGTGGACGACGACAGCCTTGGCCCTCTTGTGCACATTGGGGTTATAATAGGATTTAAATTGTAGGAGGAGATCGCTCGCAAGAAGAAAGCGCTCCATGGAAACGAGGGTAAAGAACGAGAGAAACCAGGATGAGGCCAGCTTGCAAAATGCTTGCTCCCGCCCCGGTCCCTGCGCTGGCGTGGGCCGGCGGGGAAGTAGGTGCGCGAGAGCGGAGGTGACCTCGGAGTCGCCCGGCCAGTTCCTCCTCCGCCGAGGCTACAACTCCTCAAATCGTTATCTGGACCTCGACGCGACCCCCCCTCGCCCCAGGGCCCCCAGCCTGGCCCCGCCCGACGCTCGCCTGTCGATCAAGTGCGGTTATCTAGTCCCGCGGAAGAAGAGCCGATGAGAGGCAAACGGTATGGCACTCGAAAGTGCAGGAGGTGGAGAGAGAGAGAGAGAGAGAGAGAGAGAGAGAGAGAGAGAGGGAGGGGGGGGGAGATGAGATGAGATTAAAGGAGGGATGTGATGGTGGATGAAAGGTGGCTTCTATGGTCGGGAGGGAAGGAAGGAGGGCGGGTCAGCGCCAGCCATCAATTTGATCTCCGGATGTGTTGTGGGTTTAATACCCGGGTGTGTAATAATTATAACCCGGCCCCCACGCTGGCAGTGTTAGGCGGCTTATTAAGGCTTAGCGGGAGTTGGTCCCGACTGTTGTTTATTGCTCGTCCGCCTCGCCGCCGCCGCCGCCCGCTGGAGGGCTGCGGAGCGGAGTCGCGACGTCTGCACGCCGTACGGGACCTCTGCGGCCGTGGCTGCAGGGCACGGGACGGCGCTGCGGCGGTGAAGCGGCCGGCAGTGCAGGGCGCAGTGGCAGGCGGCGGTGCGGCAGACCGCGGGAGGGTGTTAGTGGGCCGCGCAACAACGGCTAATGATCGCAGCAGATGACGGCGACGGCGCGGGCGCGTGTTACTTCCATTTGCAAATGCAGGAATGCAGCTGGTGGTCCGGGCTTCCTGGGGCGCTGCAGACCCCCCCTTCTGTGCACATTGATTGCGCAAGAAGGGAATCCAACTTTACGGAAGCTTAAATCTGTCGAAACCGAAGGAATGCCGAGGCCATGGCTGATCCCGACGCCGCGCCGAACGGTACCTGGCTGGGATTGTTGCAGAAGGGGACCGACGGGGGGGGGGGGGGGGGGTGGGGGCAGGGCCGTGACCCCCCCGGCCCGACATTGCTCCACCTTGCGGCTCGCGACACATTTAAACTCACACACGAGATTACAAGTTCACCTGTTACCTTATCTCCACGTGCCATGGGTCTTAATTCGCAACGTGTTAGCCTTTGGGCGGCCGTGCTTTTGCCTGGCGGGTGTTAGGCCCCGTTTCCTTGTCCTGGACTTGCGCAGGACCTCAAGCGCCGGCATGGACCTGGAGCTGTTCGAGGCTCTGCTGGCCAACATGCAGCAGAACCTGCCCCAGGGCGCCTACGATGAGCTCGACGACGACGACGACGATGACGACTACGATGAGGATGATGATGAGGACGACGACGAGGACTACGAGTACGGCGGCCACGAGCACAACATCCACACGATGAGCAACCCCTACGGCGGGGGCGAGGGCGGCGTGGGCGGCGGCGAGATGGGCGGCGGGGACATGTGCGGCGTCTCGCTGCCCACCATGCAGACCATGAGCATCCTGCAGGGCCTGCTCAACATGAACCCGGCCGCCCTGCCCGGCGGCGCGCCGGACATGGGCGGGGCCATGAGCGGCCCCATGAACGCCGGCATGCCGGGCATGGGCGCCCCCATGGACGGCGGCGCCGGCAGCTTCCTCTCCAACATGCCCTCCTTCCTGCCCTCCATGAACCCCGACATGGCGGGCGCCCTCGCAGGTGCCTTCGCGGGCGGCATGGGCGCTCTCATGGACAGCTTCGCCGGCGCGGGCGGCGGAGCGCAAGTGCACGACTATGATGAGGACGATGAAATTCTTTCTGATGAAGAAGACGAGGAGGACGACGATGACGACGACGACATCGATGAGCGAGGACACGGCGGCATGGGGACAGTCGCCGCCGCCGCCGCGGGCGTAGCAGCCGTGGGCGCCGTGGGCGGCATGATGACCTCGGGCCTCCTAGGCACACCACACCCTTCTGCTGGTCCCGGCCACCCTGTTGGGCCCGGCCACCCAGTTGGACCAGGCCACCCCGCCTTGGCCGCCCACGTCCCTATGCCCGGCCATCCCATGTCCGCGCATGGGGGGCATCCCCAGCACCCAGGGCACGTGCCCATGTCCGCACACGGGGCCCCGTTGGGCTTCACGCACCCTGGTTTTAACCCCACAGACATGCTGAGTGCGCCGCCCTCGTCCGCGCCGGCGCCAGTGCCGTCCCACAGCATGCCGTCCCACGCCGCGTCGCCCATGCACCACACCAGCATGGCGCCCAGCATGAGCGGCGGCTCCGTCAGAAGCGTGGACCCTCTGGCCGGCGTGGCCATGGGCGCGGCCGGCGTGGCGGCGGGCGCGGGCATCCTGGCGCCCGTGGTGAGCAGCCTTCTGTCCGCCGCGGGAGGCAAGTCGCTGCAGAAGCTGGACAACTCGGACGCCTCGAGCACGACCATGGTGGGCGACGACTCGCTCAACAGCTCGAGCAAGACGGTGGCGGCGCAGGAGCGGCCGGCGTCCGCCCCGAGCCGTGGCCGCCATCACGAAGGCGCTGGAGAAGACGCACATCACGCCGCCGTCCCCCTCCGCCAAGAAGGACGGCGACGGCTCTCCGCCTGAAAAGACTAGTGAGCAGAATGAGAGCGAGGAGGACGAGCCCGAGGAGGAGGCTCCCAAGCCAAGCACCCGAGTCTCCACGCCCAAGGACGAGCTCGAGGACGACAAGGCGAGCGTTGGCGCAGAGTCCGTTCCTAGCTCCGAGGAGGCCGGCGACGGCAAGTCCGACACCGAGAGCGTCCGAAAGAAGACTCCCTCGCCCGTTCTCACCGGGAAGCTGGGCCGCCTGAGCCCCACCGGCAGCGAGTCCACGCCCGTGCTCGAGTCCGCCAGCTGCGCCTCCATCACCGACCTGGCCAGCGCGACCGAGTCCATGCGCGACTCCGACACCGACAACCACTCGGACGCGCACAACGTGACGGCCAACCTGTCCGACCTGGACAACGACCTGCACGAGACGCAGCCCAAGGTGCGCGCGCCACCCCAGTACGCCGTCGGGGCGCTGCCCATCGTCATAGAGAAGCCCACGTTCGGCTGGCAGTCCATGGTCGGCCTCGACACTGCGAAGGACGCCCTCAAGAACCTGTTCATGAGCGAGTCGTTCCCCGAAGTGTTCGAGGGCACGCAGGGCACCTGTAAGGGCGTGCTGCTGTTCGGGCCGTCGGGCTCCGGCAAGACGTGTCTCGCACGGGCGCTCGCCAAGGAGACCAACGACGCCATCCTGATCGGCATCTCTACCGCGTACTTGGCGTCGCAGGCGCCCTTGGAGGCCCCCAAGATCGTGCGGTACCTGTTCGACCACGCGCGCATGCACACGCCCGCCGTCATCCTGTTCGACGAGGTGGACGCGCTCTGCTACGACAGGTCCAGCCAGACCGCACTCCGGGCGAAGGCCGAGCTTCTGGCCCAAATCAGAGGTAAGTGTTTCCCTCGTTCAGTGCTCCTTGAGTGACCCATCTAGCGTCGCCTGTGTCTGAGACGACGTTTGAGCCTCGTCCAACCCGAGGTCTTGATCTAACCCTTTCCCCCTCCTTCCTCAGGCTTGACGACGCTGAACCCGCCTTACCCGGCTGGCATCGACCCATCCACCTTCAACGACGGCCTCATGGTCCTGGGCACCACCAACCAGCCGTGGCTCCTGGAGGAGGATCTCAGAAGGATCTTCACCTACAACATCCACGTCAAACTCCCCAACGAGAAGGCGAGGGAGGAGCTCCTAAGAATGTTCCTGCAGAATCTCCCACATAATATTAACGACGACCAGTTCAAGTGCCTCGTAGCGAAAAGCGAAGGGTGAGTGCCTTCACGCGGGGGTTTATTTATTTACCTATCCATTTACCGATGGATTTTGGCATATGAAGCGTTCACAATCTCCAGTCCAAAGAAAATAAAAATGCCAACAAAGATTTGATCGCCATTTGGTCGCCAAACTAACCCTCCCCTCTCCCCCTCTCCCCCAGGTATTCGGCGGCCGACATCAACACTGTGATCAGACAAGTAGCGCATATGCCTCCCAGTGAACCAAAATACATACAAAACCCGCATCGGGTCATCACCTATGTAAGTATTCGTTTTTAAGAGTTCCCCTTATTCCTTTTTTCTTTTCTTTTTTGTGGTATAACATGAGAAGGAATTGGTCATGTATTGATCCTTCCCGCAGGCTTTAATTAATTCATTTTTGTCTTTTTCCCCCAATCAGGATGATCTGGCAACTGTGATGACTGATTACAGATGTAGATTTACAGAGGAAGTGTCTGTGAAGTACCAGAGGTATATCAAAGCCGCAACGCACAGATCAGGTAAGCGTTATATCCCACTTCTTTATTGCTGTTATATTGTTTTTATTACTCTTTTTGGGTTTAAATTCACGGTTTGGTTTATTTCGATTGGACAAGTAGAGATGCATAAAAAGTAAAGGAAAATGTGATTGGGGATTTTTTTTTTCGTTGTTCAAAAGGTCAGAGTAATTTGGTTGAAGGAAAAGAATGTTATTGTACTTTTTAAAAAAGGGAGAATAAGAATAATAAGGTTCTTCCCGGGTAATTTTCGTTAGTTTCATTTATAGGGGGAGGGAGGGAGGGAGAGGGGACTAGGGGTCCCAAGTGAAGTAGAATGATACAACCCAAAATTCACGAACATCCTGCTTGTCCAAAATGACTTTGTTATACGTCCGGTGAACAGCACCGTCTTGAAAGGCGTTCTCTAGAGGTTTGACTGACATATCCTTTTTTCTCTCCCCTCCCCCCTGCGCAGAAGAGCGGCGGGAAGACAGTAAAAAGGATGGCAAGAAGGAGCCCAAGGGTGTGAAGAGGTTCGGTCAGCGGATCGCAAAATCCCTCGCTGCTGCGCTCGTCGCTGTGATAGACTAAACCGTTTTCGTCTAGATTTTAGTGAAAAGACAGACCCTGGCGGCGGGGCACAGTGCCGAGGCTGCTGCGCCTTCGTCGACGTCCTGCCAGCCGGGGCCGAGGTCTCTGCGGAGGTCGTAGGGATGTTGTAATTAGCTCTGTACAGTCTATCTGTGATGAACCTTTGTTTTTTTATTAATTGGACCTCCTTTGGCCATGGCGCCGGCTGGGTCTCTTGAGAAAGAGAGAGTGAGAGAGAAAAGGGAGAGCGAGAGAGAAAAGAGGAGAGGGAGACGATCTTGCGACGCCTCCTTCTCACCCCTACCCTCCTCCTCCTCTTCCGTCTCCTCCTCCTGCTACTCCTACTTCTCCTACTCCAGCTCATCCCTTCACGACCCAAAGAAAGAGGGGCGTGAAGAGGGAGAAAGAGAGAAAGAGAAAGGAGAAAAAAAGGCAAAAGGAAAAGGCAGAACGCAGCCGTGCCCCAGCCAAGGTCGGAAGAACTTTTAGTCACTCGAGTCATTTCCTGATCCCCACCATCTACAAGCAAACCTCCGCCCGCCCGCCGCCCGCTCGCACGCTCGTATGCCCGCACATTGACCGCCCTCTCCTCCCTCCCTCCCGCCCGCCCGCCAAGTCGCCTACGCCCACCAGCGCCTCCCGGAAGCCCCCAGACGCCCGAACTCCCCAGCAGCCGAGGGAGAAACGAGAGGGACCTGTGATAACCTCTCGCGAAGATGATGAAGAAGAAAGAGAAAAGAGAGAGAGAAAAAAAAAGTGTGATAGCTCTGTGAAGTGAACTTGTGGAATCGAAGAAAAAAAAACTTGACGAATGGAAAAAGAAAAGCAAGGAAAAAAAATTACATAAAAGTGATGTGAACTTAAGTCTTCTGTGCTTCCTTCAAATGGTGTTTTGTGTACTGGAGACTCTGTGTTTTGCGCCCCAGTTGCAATGTACTGCTTTGACCGAGACCGCCTGGTGGTTGGGTGTCCCGATGAATGGGGAAAGGTGAATGTGCAAGAGGAGGAGCAGAAGGAGGAGGAGGGAGAAGGAGAAGGAGAAGGGGCCAAGGAGAAGAGAAAGAAATGTGTGAATGCTATATATTATATAATGTAGATATATATGTATTATGCAATATATGTATGCTATATAATATATGATATTTGTTGGTTCCAGGCGGCTCGAAGCAAGGGATGCTTGAATACTGTCACATGCTTGTGGAATGAGTATATGAAGGGTGCTTCTTAACAGCAATCATGATTACATTATATATATATATATATATATATATATATATAATATATATAATATATATATATATATATATATATATATATATATATCATCATGTTTGCCACCCCCCTCCCCACTTTTTTAATATATTTGTCGAGGCTGCTAGGTAGTTTCAATACAGTTTGGGAAGTACATGGAATAGTGTTGCATAAACCCAGAATCTGCAATATTTGCAATATGTGAAGGTGTTGGGGATAAGACTAAGATTGCCTGCTCTTTTTTATATGTTGTACAAATCTTCTTTTGTTAGAATATTGAATCGATTTTCTCGCCTTAGTCACGTGATCTCAAAAAAGTACGTATGCAATAACCTCCCATTATATAAGATAGGTAAAAAAATTGCTTGATTGTTTTTATTATTATTTTTATTATATATAGTGATTGAAAGTGATGATCATACATTTTATTGCATTATTGTTGTTGTTACAGTTGACTTGGAAACAAAATCACACAAAAAAGACATGATGAAAGCAAAATATTTTTGCAAGTCAAAATTTGCAAGTGGAGTGACTCAAGGTGACGCATTTTCCAAAAAAAAAGTGCATATATATATTCAGAATTTGTTTATAATAGACGTGCATCTCGGCAAGGAAAATAGTTTGAGAATGGGCATGCTCCTTATTTTTATTTTTTATTTTTTTCCGTTTGATTTTGGATTTTTTTTCTTTTATCTTTTTTTTTATCTTTTTTGAAGCCGCGGGTGAGGATTGTATCTTTTTTTGTGGCATTGTTAAGACCGGATCCGTTGTCAGTGGATGTCAGTGGCCAATAGTTTAGCGTCTTTAATATCTCTCTCGATTCGTATATATATTTTCTTTTCTTTTTAGTTTTTTCCCCTTTTATTTTTAATGCGTCTGTTTTGGCTTCTTTATGTAAATTTAGTTAGACCATCCCCCCCCCCCCCCCCACACCCGTCTGTAGAGACCCCTCCGTCCAAAGATTCGGTTGGATATGAAGTCTATATATTATATTGGCATTATTAGACACTTCCCTCAACATCTCCCATTTTCCTTTTTAGTTGTTGTTTTTTTATTATTATCGTTAATTATTGAAGATCTCATGAAGGCCACTTAAAATCGTCCCTGTTCGGATCCGTGTCTGACGAAAGACAATAGACTTCCCCTTACCCCCCCCCCCTCCACCCCAGGTCCCTCCTCCCGAGCTAAGTGTTAGCAAAAGCCCTTTTAACATTTTTTTTCTTTTATTTTTTTCTTTTTAAAAGACACTTGCCTCCTAAGTGGTCGCGTTATCACTAAGTCTTCCACTTTAAATGGCTTCCACAGTGTTTTAGAAGTTATATATATATGTATATTTTTAAAAAATGGTGTTTATATATTTTTTTTCTTATGGATAGCGGCGGTGCTGGTCGTTGTATCCGGTGGCCACTTAGGCAAAGAGGCAAGCCGTTGTTATATATATATTGCGCTTTTAGGTCAACCGATAAGTGAACATTTTTTTTTTATCAGTTTTATGTCTTTGAATGGTTTGCTTCCCCCCCCCTTCCCTTCCTTCCTCCCCCCCCTCCTTCCCCCCCCCCCCCTTTTTCTGTTGTGTGATATTTTCCACAATCTTTACTCCCCTCCTCCCCTCCACCCCCCCCCCTCCCCTCCTGTTCCATTTCCTACCCTTTTTTTAGTATCGATTTTTTTAAATATATCGAATGGCGAAGGTAATCCTTGAAGTAATGTTAATTGTATCTTTTTATTATTGTTCTGATTATTATTTTGGTTATTATTATAATTATTATTACAGGTTTATGGTGCTTATCCTGGGCTAGGGTGGTGGAATTCAATGCTTTTATTTGCTTTAATTGTATTAATGATATAGGATTTTTATTTTCTTTTTGTTTTCGTTTGTTTTTGGGTCACGTCTTTTATATATACATATATTTTTTGGTACGTTTCAATGTATTCATTTTGTATGTAATGTGATATATATTTTTTCCACTCAATTTTTAGTGGGGTATGTTTGGTAAGGGAATTTATTTGTCACATGACTTTTTTATTTTTTAGTCTATATTTTCTTTCTTTTTTTTTTCTTTTTTTTATTATGCTCCTGCTGTTTGGCTTGATCTTAAGGAATCCTTTGGACTTGAGTAGTGAGCCAAGTCCTTGTGGAATTCTTTCACGTCTGGCCAGTGGGTGAGCACCTGACCTGCCTGCTTCAGTAAAAAAAAAAAAAATTGACACGAGAGAACAACAAACAAACAACAACAACAAAAATAATGAGGATTGTTTCTTAAGCTGCCCCTGTTTCGCTTATTTAGAAATATGGATGGCGAGCACCCTCCCCCCCCCTCTCCCCCCTCCCTCCTCCTCCTCCCCTTTCCTTTCCATTCCTCTCCTCTCCTTTCCTTCTAGTTCCTCCCTAGTACATCATCTCTCCCTCTTCTCCATTCCCTCCTTTCCCACTCTTTCCTCTCCCTTCCTTCCCTTCTCTCTCCTCTCTCCCCTCCCCCCTCCCCCCTCCCCTCCCTTCCTTACCCTACATCCCACTCCTCCTCCCCCCTTCCCCCTCCTATCCCCCCCGCGGGCCCCGGGCTTTAAAATTGGTTGAATGAGCCAATCCCCACGTCCTGTAAACAACACAATATATGAATTGTAAATGTAAAAAAAAAGATAGAATTGGAATAGTTTTTAAAAAAATGTATCGACCCCATCGCTATATTTATTAATAAAGATGTATCATTTAAGCTTTTTTTGAATTTCATTGTTATTATTATTATTATTATTGTTATTATCATTATTATTATTATTATCATTATTATTATTATATTATATTATTATGCTACTATTTCCACTATAACTTCTTTTTATTACTATTTCTCATGTTTTTTTTTATTATCATTATTGTTTATAAGCTAAGAAGAGAAAACTGAAATAAATTGTGATAGTAAGCTTGTGAGTGAAAGGTTGGCGGTTGCTGCAGACGTGGAGAGGACACAGGGCCTGGCGCTCGGGGTCAAGAGGCCGCCTTTCCAAAGGGCGCCAAGCCTCCTGAAGGGCGTCTTAGGAGCCCTCCCTCTCTCTCCCTCCTCCTCGCCACCCCTCCTCCCTCCCCTCTGTCCCTTCCCTTCCTTCCCCTCCCTCGCTTGCTCGCTTGGTCGGGGGGAAGGAAGGAAGGAAGGGGGCGGGGAGGGGAGGGGAGGTGTCCTTCGGCGGATTCTCCTCGTCCTCTTTTCGGGTCCTGAAGGGAAGGACTTTTGCTTTCTTGTCTTTTTAGAAGTGGGGTGTTTTGTTTGCATCTTTTTTTATTTCATTCTGATTAATGTCTTAAAGATGAAAGGGATGGAGGAGAGATGAGGAGGACGTGGAGGAGGGGGAGAGAGAGGAAGAGAGTCCGCTAGTGCTGTGCAAAGGCTTTGTATGCCCTTTTGACATGGAGAAAAAACCAGAGTGCATCTCTCGAGCACGAGTCTATTTTCCCCATTGTGCACCGCCGTGATTTTTTTTTCTTTTTTTTTATAACTCCAAGTGTGTGAAAAAGTTTTACTTGTAATTTAAATGATGCATTTATAGAGCCTCTTGATTTTTTTTTTGCCGTAGCATTGTTTCGTGCTTAGCTGTTAAGGTTTTTAAGTGGCTGTAAAACAGTCGGTATGTATGAAGAAGCAAAACTATGGTGTCGCCACGGAGCTTTCTGGGCCGCTGGGATGCTGCCTGGGCCCCCCCCGCCCCCCTCGCACTCAGCGGTCCGCCGTAGTTGTAAATCTTAACCCTTCGTTGCCCAGACAATCCCATGTTTTTTTTTTTGGTGTTATGATTATTATTTATTATGAGTATTATGATTGGTTATTATTATTATTATTATTATTTTAATTTTACTAGTGCATCAGCATATCTCCAGTATACTCCCCTATTTTTGCTCTGTATTTATACCTAGCTACTCCTGGGGCTTGTCTCATGTGCAGATGTTGATGCTGAATCTTCTGTAGGGATGTTTTTTTTTTTTTAATATTTTTTTGATTAGGAGAAAAAAAACATGATTATTCAAAGTGAATATTGTGGTCATGACGTGACTGTGGTGTACTGTAGAAAGAGTATATTTGATCAGAGATGGCAAGAGAATTTTGTTATAAACATGACGCGCACAAACTCTACCCAGATTTTTATTTACAACCACTACTATTTGAACTCCCTGTATATGTATATATATACACACATACAAACCAACCAATGGGTGTCTTTATAAGTGTTGCAGCACACTCGCGGAGGACGGGTGTATGAGCAGCACCCTCCCCCTCCCCCCTCAGCTGTGTGCACATTGATAAGGCTTATCAACGGTGCTGCAAGTGCAATAGAATAGGATGCAAAAGAAACAGTATGTGGCTTTGTCCAGCTTTGCCGGCTTTGCAATCCATCTCTGTAGGAAGTAAGGACACACATGTTGCAATGTTGGATGATTTGATGATGATTATGATGATGATGTGTGTACTGTAACACTTAAGGTGTATAACTGTTTGTTGCTATCCAGAATTCTGAAACGGAACTTAAACATGAATGCAAGAAGAGGCATTTGTTTGAAGGGATAGCAAAGTCATTTTGAGAGAGAGAATCAGACAATAGTATGTTGAACAAAGAAAAAAATATAGAGGAACTTTTTTCACACCACTATGCCATAAGGAGTCTCCTTTCCAACACTTCACACTTAAGTCTTGTTTGAGAATTCTGGTTTCTGCTTTTTTTTTTTTCTTTTTTTTTTTTTACTCTCCCGCCGACCGTCGCCATTGCAAAATGTGCAAAATATTACGTAAGATGTGATTACCCCCTGTCATGGTACCCCTCCCTCCCCTTCCCCCTCACCCTCCCTCCCTCCCTCCTTTGGACCCTGAATCTACCCTCCTTTCTTGGCCTCAATTCACACATGTTTATGTAGTTTTAAGATGTTCTTTTCTTAAGTGGAATTGTGTACATATAGACGATCCCTATTCCCTTCCCTCTCCCCCACTTCCCACTCCCCTCTCCCTCTCCCTCAACCCCTCTCCTTCT